AAAAAAAATATTATTTTCAATTGTAGAACTTAAATTAAAAGAGAGAGAGAGAGAGGAAGTTGATTGTTTAACATTGCAAAAATTAAAACTTTTAACATTATCCATTATTCATAAATCGAAAGTTTATCAAATTTTATTTTGATTGAATTGTACTGTCTAATAAATAGAAAACTTGAAAAGGAGGTTAGGGTTTTATTTATTTATTTGATTTTGACTTGAAAAATGAAGAAGTAATTATTTTTTATTTTTAATATATTTTATTTATTTATTATATAATTTAAATTTTAAATTTACCTTATAAAATAATACTTATTATAAATTCAATCCAACCCTTGAGGTTACTTCTCAAATTTATCTTCGATACTACCGTGTTAATAATGATAAACTCGACATCTCTAAAAGGCTTTGAAAAGGATGTTATGATTGACTATTGTTTCTTTGGCACATTGAGAGTTGATTTTTCATTTTTACTTTAAGTATAAAGTGTTCACCAAACGATTAAAAACTTAAACTTTTATATTGAAAAGTTTAAATTTTAATTTTAAAATAAATCAAAAAAGTTTTTTAAAAATAATTATTTTTATTGTATAATTTATTATTTAATTAAAAAATAAGAAGTAAATTGGATATAATTATACAAAATATAGATTTCATCATTCAAGCATCTTACGAATAAATTAAGAAAAATTTAGCTCTACACGTTAGTTACACGTGATTTATCACTTATCCTTTAAAGTGAGAATATCTAGAAATTTAAGTTTTGACTCCTTGGGAATACATTCCCTCTTCCGCGTAGAAAGTTAGGATCATTTATAATCTGTTAAAAAGAAAATTAAAAAAACCCACGAACGGGTGGATGAGTTGGTTGAGACTCTTTCAGCTTAATCAGAGGTTTAGGGAGAGTTTTGCCGCTCATTGGGTCCTATCCGGCTCGAATCTGGATTAGCCAGTAACCCAATAAATTTTTGGATACCAGATGATCATACAAAAAAAATAATAAAATAAAATAAAAAACTCCCCTTTTTAACAAATAAAGGAACGTATTTTTGTAATTGTATTGATGTTAGGGGCCGAAACAAAGTGCTACTCTTTAAAGAAGTTGAGTTTAGCCTGTCCTAGAAAACTTGAGACTTATCAGCGAGTTAAGGATTAATTTTTAGAAGGGTTTTTGTTGTTTCAACCATATTAAATTAAAATATAAAAATTATTAAATATAAAATGATTTTTAATATCCATGTCGCACAATACTTTTGAAAGAAAAAAAAAATCTTCAATTTAACTACTACAGTAAAGGAAAAAGAAGAATATCTGAAGGCAAAATTTTTTTTTTTTTTTAGAGGGAAGAATATTAAAGCGGCTAACAAAATTATATTTTCGTAGCTTTGGGCTGGAACTGGGCTAGAGGCTATAGCTAGCTACGAAGAATCCACATCCACAGCGAAGGAATGTTGGTCTCTGAAAGCAGCCCGCAAAAAGTACATGGGTTTAAATATCAAATCAGTCTTCAAACTTTAATCCACCTCATAGAAACCCATTTGTTATGCAGATAAAGCCCATCAGGTAGAGAAATTCTATTGTATCTCTAGGACACTACTGATGCATTAATGAATTAATGATCTATTAATTCTAGTAAAAAGATATCAATTTCTTTTAAATAAAATATTAATTTCAACTTCTACCAAAAAAATATTAATTTCAACCAATGAGCTATTGATTTAAGTGAAAGAAGTTCAATTCTTCTTAAGATATCAAGTTCGAGTCTTGTGAAGAGTTTCCTCTTTAATGGGGTTTGACATAACTCGATTTTAAATTAATTAAAATTTAATGTGATTGTCAAATAATAAAATGTTAATATATAAAAAATATCAACTTCAAATTTTATAAATAAAAAAATTAATACTAAGAGAATTTTCGTTCAATAAAAACACACCATATTTTTTTTTCACACTTCCTCAATCACTTACGGGAGAAAAGCTAAAGTAATGTGTTTTTAGTGGTAATCCCGAGAGGATACAACAGAATTTTTCAACCATGTGATCCAATTCAAGTCTTAACAAAATTATGAAATTGTGGAGTAGGAGCAGCATTTCACGAGTGGGGAGTAGGTCAACTCATTTGGGTTTGAGGTTTGCAGGCCATATTAAGGATCTTTATCAACTCATTCTTCGTCGACTTTCACTTAGGGAGCATTCGGTTTTGGTTGTAATTGAAATTGAATTATTAGTTAGTTAAAGTTTTAATTATTAAAATTTAAAAGTTATTAATTAAATTAAAAATTAAGTTTTATTGATGTTGATTAATTCTAGGAATAATAATTTGGATTGATTTTGATTTTAATTGAAAACTTATCATGCATTTGAAATCATTTGTAAAGTGCATCATTTTTTCTTAGACAATGATTTAAATTTGATTCTTTATAAATTTGTTTAAAAAATAATAAAAAAAACTTATCATATATATTTTTTATTTTCTAATTATTATTTTATTAATTTTAATCATTAAAATATAAAAAAATTATCAAAGTAATAAATAGTTTTTGATATAGATCACTCGGTATCTGGAAGTTCATTAGATCACCGACTAATTAGATTCGAATGAAGCAGGACCTAACAGACGGCAAAGTCTTTCCTCACAAGATTTAATAGAATTATATTCTCAAAATTTAAAATTAAGATATCTATTTAAATTAAAAAATTCCTCGGTCGACTCCCTGACCAATGGATGTCAAAGTAATAAATAACTTAATAAGAAGTGAAAAAAAAAATATAAGAAAGATATAGAATCATTAAAAAAATTTATATAAAGGTTTTTAAATTAAAATTTTTATTATATTCATCATAGTTATTGATTTTTTAATTTTAGATCTAACAATCAAAATTTAAATTATTTGAGATTGAAAAGAGACAATAAATCTTAAATAAAAAAGTTAATTATATAACAATATATTATATTATAAATTTATAATTTCAAACCATATTATAATTATATTATTTTTGTGTAAATATAAAGAAAGTATTTATTAGACTAATTTTTAAAAATTAAAAGAAAAAATCTGTTTGTAAAGGAAAATAAAGACTGTTTTGAAAATTTTAAGGTTTTCTAATGTTTTTTTTTTCTTAAAATATCAAGAGATTCAGCTGATGAAATAAAAATAATACAAAAATTTGTCAAAAAAAAGAAGACAATAACAAAAAAATTTAAAAAAAAAAACTAAAATTTAAAAAATTTTATTTATAAAATAAACGTCTGAGGAGCACCATCTTTGATCTCCGTCTTCCCTCTTTGTTTAAACTTTCACTCTCGCCCTCTCTCTCCCGAGAGGTTTCTTTCTTCTTTGTTTTATTTTTTTTTTCCTTTTTTTTCTTTCTTTCTTTCATTTTTTCTTTTTATTTTCCTTCATTTTATTTTCGTTTTCTTAATTTTGTCTTTAATTTTCTTTCAAATTTTCTCTTCTCCTTTCTGCATCATCTCCTTCCTCAATTCCTGCTCGAAACCCTAATCCCCACAACCCTAGAAGAAGATGCAGCAGCAACAAAGGCTAAAGCAACAGCAGGCCATGATGATGCAGCAGTCTCTGTATCCCCATCCCTCTCTACTCGCTGCACCTCAGGTTTCCTTTTTTCTGTATACCCTTTTAATATTTTGATTCGGTTTTGTCTTTCGAGCTTCCTTTACATTCTCTAATCTATTCGATGAAATTTGGGTATTTGGGTTTATCGATTTGCATGATGGGTATTTATTAATTTATTATGGGATTTTTTTTTTTACATATCTTATGTAGAAGAACAACTCTCTTAACACTGTTTTGTTATGCAACAATCTGAAGAAGGTTATCTGAATTTATGTTCAGTTTTGTAAATTATGTCATTTTCGTGTTTTTCTTTATCTGGGAGATTATAAGAGATTATTGTTTGGTTTTATATGGTGTTGTGGCACCTTCAAAGCTTTGAAATTTTGTAATTAGGAAGCGTGAAATTTAGGAATTTTTTTAATTTGGTTCCTGTATTTTACATTTTCATTTTGCAGATAGAGCCCATCCTAAGTGGAAATCTGCCTCCTGGGTTTGATTCGAGTGCATGCCGCAGCGTGTGAGTGTTGTATACACATTTATTTTCTTGGTTTTTTGCCTTTTATTTTCTAGCCTAGAATTTCTCCTTTTTGATTCTCTTGTATTCTAGTTTGTGATTTTATTGTTATGTATGTGAAAATGCAGGTATGTAGGAAACATTCACCCGCAGGTTACAGAGCCCTTACTCCAAGAAGTTTTCTTAAGTACCGGTCCTATTGAAGGATGCAAATTTATTAGGAAAGATAAGGTTTTCCTTTACTCAACTTTTTCTTCGCAATTCTTTTGCATTGATTTCTAGTAATTTGTATTCCAGTTTCCTTTTTACCTTTTGATGTTTATCTGCCTTGCTTATGACATTCTGTGCTTGTGCAGTCATCTTATGGTTTTATAGACTATTTTGATCGCCGATCTGCTGCCCTTGCAATTGTGACTCTTAATGGGAGGCAACTGTAAGTAAAGATCCTGAACATCTTGTGGTAGCCATTTTGCGATCCTATATTTAAATGCATTTTATTGTTTTCAGATTTGGCCAGCCTATTAAAGTCAATTGGGCCTATGCTAGTAGTCAGAGGGAGGATACATCAGGTTTGTACATGCGTAGGAAAGTTCTGTGACTCTGACTATTAGAAGACAGTGATGTATCACTTCAAAGCCTAATGCTATTCTCACTTTGACAATCAGGCCATTTCAATATTTTTGTTGGTGATCTTAGCCCCGAAGTTACAGACGCTACTTTGTTTGCATGCTTCTCCATCTACTCTAGTTGTTCGTAAGTTCTAGTTTTTCTTGTTTGCTGGTTTTATCCAAAGGAGTATCATTTTTATTTCTTGGTTTGTTGGCAATATGGATATGATGCAGTGATTATTTTTCGTCTAATTGACTGAAGAACTGATTTTATATTTTCACTGACTGCAGAGATGCAAGGGTCATGTGGGATCAAAAGACTGGACGATCAAGGGGCTTTGGATTTGTTTCTTTCAGGAACCAGCAGGTACAGTACTTGAATTACTTGAATAACCTGCTTCTTGTCTTTCATTCTCAAAATAAGATTAATTTTAATTCATGCCATGACTGTGTTTTTTGTCAGGACGCCCAAAGTGCAATAAATGACTTAAATGGTATGTAAATATTCAATGCTTTTACAGAGTTCTCTCCTTTTTTTGGTCTAAATTTTCTTGTCTTTTAAATGTATCATTAATGCAAACTTAATAGATTGGCACTTGAAGTTGATGATGAGCACACTTCAGTCCCTTATAAGTCACCTACCTATAATTTTGTTTTTGTTTATCATAGGGAAGTGGCTGGGAAGTAGGCAGATTCGTTGCAACTGGGCTACTAAAGGAGCTAATTCAAATGATGACAAGCAGAGTTCTGATGCAAAAAGTGTTGTAGAGCTACCCATTGGTAATGGTTCATCTGGTGAGTTTTTCTCTTAGAAATAGCTGTAGTGGTTAAGTCTTGTACCAGTAGCCATAATGTTTCCCTAGCTTCAATATGTGTTTCTCCTTTTCTTTGGAATAGCAGTTTTGTGTGTTTAGTTTTGGATTGTTGGTGTGCTTGTTTACTTCTTATCAACAAGATTCACTATAACTTGATTTATTTTTTAGGGGGTCATGTGTCTTTTTGGGGCAGTAGCTTTTGATATTTCTAGAAACCTATCTCATCTCTTTGCACATAATAATACTAACATTATTGTTGACATTTTTCTGTCTTGCCTTCATCATTTTCCTGTATGGATGTTTTAGATGTTATCACAGAACTTCAAAATTTGTATACGTGCTTCTTGTTAACCCATTTCACATTCTTCCCCTGGTTCTTCTATCTGTCTCTTTGACTCCCTCTAATTACCAAATACTATGTTATGGATGCTTGAGGTTTGATGTTTATTTGCTAGTATGACTACTTACATGCTTATGCCTTAGATCTATTTGTTTGGTTCTGTTTAGTTTCTATCCTTGCCAATGTTGAACTTTTCTGTTCCTGAACTACCCCATTCTGTACGTGTTTTGGATATATGATTTGTTTGAATTATCTATTTTCTTTATTATTATTTTTTAAGTTGGAGGCATAAGCCAAAAACTAAGCGCTTTACATTGCTTTAAAGTGATCATGGAAATGAAATCCCACATTTGCAAGTTGGATACATCTCTGTTGGAGGTTCCTCATCTTGGGTAGTGCTCAAATTTATATCTTCTTGCTTCTTGCAGATGATGGTCAAGAGAAGACTAATGATGATGCTCCAGAGAATAACCCTCAGTATACCACGGTTTATGTTGGGAATCTCGCATCTGAGGCAAGTATTGGTCTTTGTCTACAGACCTCCCCAATTTGTTGGAGACCTTTGGGTAAAGCCACACAGTCTATGGGGAACTACAGACAAATGGGATATAGGGTATTTTAAGTAACAAGAAGAAATCTCTGTTGCCCCTATCAGTTATATCTCACTTGGAAGTACTGCTCCATGAATAGAAAAATCCACATGGTTGCTCTGCTGTCAGTAACAATATATATATATATATATATATTTCCTTCTGTGGCTATTCTCATGGATAAACATTTTTCAGGTTACTACAGGTGACCTCCACAGGCATTTCCATGCCATTGGTGCTGGAACTATTGAAGATGTTCGTGTGCAACGAGATAAGGGTTTTGGGTTTGTGAGATACAGTACACATGCTGAAGCAGCTCTTGCTATTCAGATAGGAAATGCTCGCATTCTCTGTAGTAAACCTGTTAAGGTATTTGCTTATTGCAATTTTTTGTAAATGCCCATTTGAAATTGCTCGGTATTATTCCCTATAGAAGTAAAGAGAACTTCACATAATGTGGTTAATTATTATATTAAATGTCACAAAAGCAAGTTAAGGAACTCATACAATTGTTGCCCCCCTAAATTTTTTTTTTTTTAATTGCCTGACCGTTCAATGTTTCTGTGGTGCAGTGTTCGTGGGGTAGCAAACCAACCCCACCAGGAACAAGCTCTGCCCCTCTTCCCCCACCAGCTCCAGCATACATGCCAGGTCTTTCATCCACTGACCTTGCTGCCTACCAACGACAAATGACAATAAGTAAACTTGGCAGCACTCAGACCCTGATGCATCCGCAGGGTCAGCTTGCCCTTAAGCACGCAGGTATGGGATCAGGTGCTGCTGGACTTGGCCAGGCAATCTATGACGGTGGATTCCAGAACGTTGCAACAACCCAGCAGCTAATGTATTACCAGTAATCATGGGATTAGATCGCCCCTCTATAACTTTCCAAGGAGGAGTAATATATTCTATGGAGATTGTAGGATGATGCTCGTCAAGTTCTATTTTCCTTCTCCCCGTTTTTTCCTTTGTCTGTTTCATACATGCCTTGGATGGTAGTTATCTTTTGCCAGGGTACTCTGATTATATCAACCCTCTCTGCTGTCTCAATCACTTTAGTGTGTGGAATCAAGGATAATTATGAATGAAGTAATTTCGGTTCTATTTAATGTGGTTGTAGTTTTTGTAATATATATTTTTTTATTTTTCCAAGATTCGCAACTTTTTTTGTGATTTTAAATACATTATCCTTTTTATAATAATCAATAAAAGCAAAATGAGCTCATTTATTAAAATACATAACTTTAATTAAGCCACGTATCAATATTACAATATATAAATGAAATATATTAATATGAAAGCAACGACTGACATGATCTTATAGCCTGTTAACACCCACAGCCTAAGGGTGACGAATGTTCACTCGCCAGCCTTCGCCTTCGAAATCACAACTCTTTCTCACCCTTTTGACCCTCTTATCACCCGTTACAGGCTCTTTCACTTTGTTTACACTACACTACACATTACCATGCATGAAGAAAGACAGAAAAAGAAGAATTTCTTCAACAACTGTTTGCAAAAATGTAACAGGACTCAAAATCAACCATATATCTCAGTTCTACAAAACTCTCTTCAATAACAAAATTTTGCTTTTTTTGATACATATATATATATATTTTGGTTATGATTTGGTTTGCCATTGCGGATTGTTGATTACTTCTTGTCTCCCGTCCGGTGTGTTGTTTTTGTTTAATATACTCTGCTTCCGCTAGGTTGCAAGAATACCGGTCCAGAATATTTGGCCGGCGTTATGTGCCGAGTTCGTGACTTTTCCCGATCTTGAAGCTTCCGATCGGCACTGCTGTTCTCTGCGCTCGTCCATCATTATCTGCCTCGATCTACACTCCGAACTACAGAACCCTTTCTCCCCTCTGCACGTACATAATTCATCATCAATTTCATAATCCAATCCATGCTAAAAAGAAACAAACTATTTGATTTTGATATAATTTGGTAACACGACGTTGAAATGAATCTAAGAAAGTTTGAGAAATTTTGTTCACCTGTACATGTAGATGTCTTTGCCGTGGAGATTTTTCCTGCACAAATGGCATGAACTGAGAAAATCCGAAGTTGGGTATGGGGAAACATCTTCTAGAAACCATGTCACCGGTTCCTTTGGCGGGACGGGGATGTTGCTTTCCTTCTGTTCGTGGCCATCGTAATACACCTTAGTGAACGATTTATTATTGGGTCCATGGCAAGTCACGTAAGTATAATTCTCCAAATTTTCAGATTCCCAATCTCCACATGCTCCTAAACTTTTACGGGAATTGTTGAGAACCTTACCGGCGGCAATCAATCGACTCAAATTCGAGCAGCGGACAGCCAACCTGCCGCAACAGTCACCGGATTTCTCCAGCGCTGCAACGATTCCTAACCCAACCCCACCTAGATCGTAGTTCTTCATACTTTTCGGCGATTGGATTTTGAAATTCAATGGGCTTCTGGGGCTCGTAATGACATCAGAAACCACAGTATGGTTCCCAACTGAAACCAACAACTCAGACAATTTCCCGATGATCGGACGTGGTCTCTTACCCATCATCTCGTCAAATTCCAGAATCAAAACCCAAAACCCAAAATTTTTCTAGAGAAATGAAGAAATAGGATTGAATTTATAAAGCGAAATCTCCCGAGTTGGGTAGACAGAGTGGGTAGATTTCGCCCGTGGTTTGGGTTATGGAAGCCGATGTTTGCCCAAACTGCACAACATATCATTCAACGAACCTTTTTCTATTATTATTTATAGAAAGAAATAAGGGATTCGGGTAAGTACCTATGCCCCCAAGTCTTTAGTGTTTTGTTCAAAAATATCTCTAAGCTATAATTCTTTGCAATTACACCTTGACTCTAGTTAGTTGATGGTTGCGAGCAATTATATGAAGTGTGAACACGTCAATATTTCGAGAATAGAAATCTGAAAGTATTAATTTATCATAAATGACCTCTTAAATTGTCCTGTTTTATTGAATTAGAATGAGATTTAAATTTAAATATTTTGATTTTTTCTTTAAATTCTTTGATACATTGTTTATATTGTAGTTGTTCATACTTGTATTAGGCAGGTTGTGAAGCATAATACAAACCACTTAGGGATGAAGCTTTTATCAAGTAGTAGCACCACAACACCAACATCATTGGTGAAAAGTTAGAAGATTAAACCCCCAATTTAGTCAATTAACTATTGTGTGAACCATTAATTTGATCCCTGAACTAAAAAATTCTCTAATTTGGCTCTTATTGTTTATCAATTTAGTTTCAAATTGGTCTTTTTGTACAAAAACAACTAATGTGTCTCTGATGGGAATCAAGACGACAGCATAGCTACTACGTCATGTGATCCATTACACACCCAAGGAGGTCCAGTCACGCAAGCTAGAGCTAAAAAGATGCGTGAAACTTTAAATGGCCTTATTGAGCAGATCTAGGTTGAAAACAACATACAATAAGCAAATTGAAGCTTGGATGATTATCAAGGCATGGTAAACATCATTCAGGTTCAAGAGAAGCTTAGTTGAGGTCATTTGTACGGAATTACACAGTTTGCATCAAAATCGCACAATTCTGCCGCAATTTATAGTAAATTGATATTTCGTGTTATTTTAGGTTATTTTGAGTTATTTTCACATTTTTTCTATTATTTTTGGGCTGAACATTTGCTTATTTGAAGCCTAATTTGTGGTTATTAGGTTTAGGACTTAGGGTGTTAGTTTCCTATTCTGATTAGGATGTGTTTTTTTTATTTAAAAGGCTTGTAACCCTAATAGGGAGAAGGCTATTGAATCTGAGATTTTGAGAGATTTTTCTCTTTGATTCGTTTCAGAACTTTACAGAACTTATCAAGATTATTCTTGTGGCATTCTAACCTGACTTATCATTCTCGTTCTTAATCGCTCGAGGGTGTGGCGTTAACCAACTTTATACCTCTGGTTCTTGTTGCGTCATAAACAACGAGTCAAGGTTTTTATCTTTGGTTCTTGTTGCGACATAAACAACGGATCAAGGTCCTATTATAAACTTGATTTAGGTTTCCTAGAGTTTAGAAACCCCTTGTTGTGTTGTAGGTCTCATTATTCTCTTTGGGGTTCTCATCATCTTGGTATCAGAGCATCAGATCCCTAAATCAGGTTTACGTATCTTTAATTTTCAATTTTTATCTTCAAAAAAAAAAAAATTCAGTGTGATTCTTCTTTTTCTTATTTTGCTCTTTTGAATCTGTGTTGCTGGTTTTAAAAAAAAAAAAGAAAAGAGAGATCGACAAAAAGCACGAAAAAAAAGAAGACAAAGTCATACAAAAAAAAAGGAAGAGGATCACCAAAAAAACAAAAAAAGAAAGAAAAGATGCAAAAAAAAAAAAAGGAGAGAGAGAAACAAACAACACCATTTTGTGGTTGGAATTCCTTATATGGAGAAGAAATCTGTGGCCAAATTCTTAAAGAAGAAGGAATCCTACTCCAATAAGGAGTTGGAAATTCTCTTTGAGTTATATTTAAACAAGGAGATAGCAATTTTGTTTATTCCTTCCTAAGTTAGGAATCCTACTGCATTAAGGAATAGTCAAGTCAATTCCTACTAGGAAGTGCTTGAACTGATCTATTCGTTTTAATTTGTTTGGGTTGGTTCTTTTATTGCTTTTCTTGGTCGTTCCTTTGTGTCTTTCTGTTTCCTTTAACTCTTGCAGATTTGTTGGAGTTAAATTGATGCAAAATAACTTGAATTGAGCTTGTTTAGTTCAATAACGAACTGAAAAGAGGGAAGTTGAGTGAGGGAAAAAGGCAAGAGGTGTGAGCAACACTTGAGAGAAAAGCCAAGCTCTACAATGTGCAAAACACGAGCATTGAGTGCCATTCTGTGAGAGAGTGGAGTGAAACATGTAAGGGAGTGTTGTGAGGTCCTTTTATTCTTCTGTTTCTAACATTCATTGCAGGTTTCAATCATGTCAAGCGGTGATGACAAATCAACCACTAGAAGCCACCATGTGGATGAATCCTTCATGTTCAAAG